ATACGTATGCTAAGAAAAAGTCTGTAAAGCAAATTCGAACCCGCCACCTTAGGTGTATGTGGCTGGCGCCTTAGCCGGTTGAGCTATAGGCGCCGAGCCGAATTAGGACTATTAAGGGTCATCTTTCAATAGCCTCCTGTCTGCTCCTGCTTTCTGCACCATCTTTCTTTACCATCTTTGAAACTTTGTTTTTTAAAAATGAAGGAAAGTGTCAAAGTGACTATATTGTCTTGCTCATGAAGGGAAGCATGTGACTTATCTACATTCCATGTCTCTTTGGCTTTTTTTTGAGACAGTGTCTCATTTTGTCACCCTCAGTAGAGTGGCATTATAGCTTACAGCAACTTTAGACTCTTCTGGCCTCAAGCAATTCTCTTGCCTCAGCCTCCTAAGTAGCCTTTTTCAATCAGCTCATCTGTGTAGCTTCAGATATGCATCTCTTGTATATCTGCTAACTTTTAGACATTCACAGACTTGATTTTCTTTATGTGAGTGGACAACTGTATTTACCGTGTTTCACCTAAAATAAAGATACTGTCTTACATTTATTTTTTCTCAAGAAGACACATTAGGGCTTATTTTCAGGGGATGTCTTCCACGCCGAAATGCATGGCGTGGTTATGCAGATATACTGCATAGCCATGCCTATCACTATGTCTGATTATCGGGGTAGGGCTTATATTTAACAAATGCATAGAAATCCTGCTAGGGCTTATTTTTTGGGTAGGTCTTATTTTCGGGGAAACAAGGTATGTGTACATGCAATGCAGTGTAAACCAGATTGAAATTCCTAGTTTTGGGGATCAAAAACCTGCTTCATTTTTTAAGGCAGGTCCTTTGTGAAGTTGTTTATTTGTTTTGGGTTTGTTTGCCCACCAACTTTTTTATTTACACTGACAGATAAAATTGTGTTTATCATGTATAACATGAGGTTTTGAAGTATATACAGTTATATATCTCCTATCTGAAATGCTTAGAACCAGAAGTGTTTTGGATTTCAGATGTTTTCAGATTTTGGAATATTTGCATTATATGTATTGGTTGAATATTCCAAATCTAGAAATCTGAAATGCTCCAATGAGTATCATGTTGGTACTGAAAAAGTTTGAAATTTTGGAAACATTTCAGATTTTAGATTTTGGGATTTGAGATGTTCAACCTATATACATTGTGGAATGGTTGGGAAATTGATTGTTTGAAATCCTATCTTGTGACTGTTTCCCTAATACACCGTTTGTTTTAGCTGTTCATATTCAAGCTTTGTTTTACATTATTTTGATCATTTTTTTAATCTATGGTAATTCTCAATCTGCTTTTCTGTATGTATTTTATTCAAAAGATGGATAATACACTCTAATACTCTATTCTTTGCAATACAAAATACTCAACTTTATTGACTTCCTTCCTTAATCTTCTCAGAATTTATGTGTATCAAGCACTTCCATTAACTTTGAAGAAATTACAATCTAGATGTTTCATTATTCAGTCTTTTCTTAGAAACTAAATTTTTTTCTTACCATCCAGAGATAATTTTGTATTAGTAAGAAAGGTTTGAGAGCTATTTTATTAGCAAACATTAGTTCCAGAAGTCCTTAAATTCCTTTCTAAATTTCAGAAAACTTTTTTTTTTTTTTTTTTTTTTTTGAGACAGAGTCTCACTCTGTCACCATAAGAGTGCTGCCATGGCATCACAGCTCACAGCAACCTCAAACTCTTGGGCTTAAGTGATTCTCTTGCCTCAGCCTCCCAAGTAGCTAGGATTACAGATGCCTGCCACAATGCCCGGCTATTTTTTGGTTGTAGTTGTCATTGTTGTTTGGTAGGCCTTGGGCTGGATTCGAACCCACCAGCTCCAGTGTTGTGTGGCAGACATACTAGCTGCTGAGCTATAGGCACCAAGTCAGAAAAGTTAACTTTTGAAATATCATTGTACTTCTGAGAAGGGGAAGGAAATTGAGTCCTTTTTTTTGAAGATTATAGAGGAGGGTTTTATTAACATTTTGAGCCAGGCATTTCTTTGATGTGAGGGGTGCTGTCCTGTGTATTGTACAATGTTTACCAAAATCCTTCTCTCCCATCCACTGGTGACAGTAGTACTACACCATTTGTAACAACCCCAAATGTCCCCAGACATTACCAAATGTCCCTTGGGTGGGGTGGGGTGCAGGGGAAGTCACTCCTAGGTAAGATCCGTTGTTTAAAAAAGATGTCTGTTGTTCACACAGCTGCCTGTCATTTTGTCTCTCACACATTACTAACCTATTTCTATTTCTTACATGACTACAGATCAGGGTGTTATAGACAGTAGGACAGAATGTCTAAGAGTTCCCCAGTCACAATCCCTCCTTGCCCTGAGGGAAAAAGTCACTCATTTTTAAAAACTCAAATATCTTTTAAAATTTCATAGGTTTAAGTTAAAGGTAAAATATAAATGGGGAGTAGAAATCTCCTATTTAAAGAAGAAATGTCAATTTAACATTTTAGTAAGACTCACAGATTTCCTTTCCAATGTGACTGTACATATTTTACCCATCTAAAACCTGCCTATACTCCAAAAGGAATTCAAATGAATTAAAATTGAAAACTGTAAATTTGCCAAACAGAACAGAAACCTATTGAAAGATATAGAAAAATAGGTATTTGTAAGAATCTGTAACGAAACTGCTATAGTTGAAATTTGTGCTTAGTTCTGAGGTTCTAAATGACAAACCACAAAAGTAAAGATACTATTAAGTTATTGTTAGGAAGTAACACAGCTGACTTGGTTACGACCTATAAAGTTGTAAACTGTGTTGCATGGAATATAATACTTATTCCCTTGTCCTTTTTCCCCCAAGATAAAGTGAAATCTTTTCGTGCCGCTCTGCAAGAAGAAGAACAAGCCAGCAAACAAATCAACCCGAAGAGACCCCGTGCCCTTTAAATCGGCATTTGCTGCTAAAGGATCCCCATAACCTCACTACTGTAACATAAAATGGTTCAGCTGTAAGGGCCATTTGAAAGTTTGAAATTTTTAAGTGTCTGTGGAAAATGTCTTGTTCTTCACCTGAATGACATTTCAATTTTGTGAAACACTCCTTTGTCTACAAAATGCTTCTAGTCCAGGAGGCACAACCAAGAATTGGAATTAGTGAAGCCTTTTGTTTCCTTTACCCAAATAGTGATTTACTTTTGGAGATCCTTGCCAATTTTGTTTTCTATATGAAGATTATGGACTTGATCCAGAGGTGGATAGTGGGGGAAGCCACAGCATTTCCTTTTAACTCGGTTCAATTTTCGTAGCAAGACTGAGCAGTTTGAAATCCTTGCGTGCATGCATACCTCATCAGTGATTGTACATACCTTGCCCACTCCTGGAGACAGCTGTGCTCACCTCTTCTGCTTTGTGCCTTGACTAAGGCTACTGACCCTAAATTTCTGAAGCACAGCCAAGATAAATTACATTCCTTATTTGTCCTTGTAAATTACCTTTGTGTGTACATTTTTACTGTATTTGAGACATTTTTTGTGTGTGACTAGTTAATTTTGCAGGATGTGCCATATCATTGAACGGAACTAAAGTCTGTGACAGTGGACATAGCTGCTGGACCATTCCATCTTATATGTAAAGAAATCTGGAATTATGATTTAAAACCATATAACATGTGATTATAATTTTCTTAGCATTTTCTTTGTAAAGAACTAAAATATAAACTAGTTGGTGTATAATAAAAAGTAATAAAATTCTGAGAAGAGTTTTATCTTAGGAAAATACATATATATGCAGTGTGTGTGCCAGTGTGGTATTAACAAGACTAATAGTGCAATTTGATCCTTACCAATACATTTCTTAATTTGACATTTTCATGAGCACCCAAAATATACCTTTTTTAATGTACTGTTAAAGGAAATTGGCTTCTGATGCATGAATACTAATATGTACATTGAGAGTAGTCCATAATAGAAGTTAGTTTAAGCCAAGTATAGGCAGTACATAACTCTTGAAAAAGAATTAAGCTGAAAGAGTTGACTTTGCCTTAAAAGAAAGGCAGATCTAACCCAAGCTCCATCCAGTACCAAATGTGAAATTTCACCATTTGTGAGAATCACCAAATTCTCACCAATAGATTGGTGTAGGGTATGCTACTTTTTAAATGGCAGCACTTATTTTTACATATTGCTATTCTCAGAAAGAAAACTGGCCACTTTACATGTAAATAATTTTGTTAAAAAATTTATATATCTCTCTAGGAGTTTTCTCTCAGTTCCCAGTATAGAAGCCAAGAGTAGTTTACTGATAAAAGATCTCCCAAGGATATCTTGTTTTGGTTTACTCTAGGGAACTAGCTCATTCATTTGGGCCAAAGGGAAGCTATGAACAGAGAGTCACATGAGCCAGATTCTTTACTTCACTGTTCACAAAACCCAGAGGGTAGTTGTGAAAGATCCTAACACCATCGTGGAAAGCTCTGTAAACATGAAATCTGAAACAAATCTGGATTTTGTTTGCTCATTAATCTATGGAATGAGTTTTAAGAGACAATTTACTTTAGTACAATCACCTTTGTTTTGGAAAGGCCTCAGGTTTTCTTGCAGTTGTAAAATATATTGTGTTTATTTCAAAGGGAAGAGGAAATGTGGAGAACTGTTACTATTGGCCTTGCAGAGGCTGTTTAAAATCATAGTTTATGAGAATAACCAATCTTCAAAGGGCAATAAAGACATGTGAACTTACTCACTGTAAAGCACAACAGATTAGCTTTAATTTATTATTTGCATTGGATGGGTACTATCTTTGGAAGTTATCTTTACAGATAAATATGCTGCCTTATACTATAATGGCTCTATTCTGATTAGGAGTCAAGGTATTTAAAAAAATTCATACCAAAACAGATCTTGGAGTTAGTATAATATGCACCTTTAGCTTTTACAAATAGGGAAAACTGAAGGCCAGAAAAGGGATTAAAACTCAGCAGTTCATAGGGGTGCCCAACCAGCAGCCCATGGACAGCATGCTCATTTTACGAGGACTTTATTTGTTTAGCTGTGGTGTCTGGATATCATGAAAAATACCCACAGATCGTTTTTTTGCTAATCAACTTTTGTTATTACATTTATGTATTTAACATGTGGCCCACGACAACTCTTATTCTTCCAGTGTGCAGCAAAGGAAGAAAAAAAAGGTTGTCCACCCCTGGCGTAGAGGGAAATGACCTAAGAAAGCTGAGTTAAGTGTTAAAATGTTTCTGTAAGGATAGAGATGGTACAAATGAACTCTACAAAGTTTGTGAAGTTAAAAAAAAACTATCCTTCAGTACAATATTCATATGATAAAAGTGAATTGATGGAGCTAAGTAACTTTAATTTTTTGTTCTGGAGTCAACATTCTGTAATATTTTCTTTGACTTGAAAGCTGATAATCCCTCTTAAAAATAATTAAGAATATGCATTATTTTAATTATGTGGTAAAATTTACTATGTAACTTCGAAGCCAGATTTCAAAATTTGGCTTTTGCTAAATTAAGTGAAAATATTCCTTCTATTAAGCTACCTGCAAGGAAAGCTAAAATCAATGCAGATACTTTTTATTAATTTTCTTATGTGTATAAATAAAATAGCTACTATAATTCTTAGAGTATAGTAATATCACTATTACACTGATTAAACATAGTAGCTAATAAAACTTGTTTATGACATCTATTGAAATTCTCAATCTGACAGTTTTAAAATAGCTTAAAACTAAGCATCAGGTATATGAAAAGTACTAGAAATTTTAATTGTCCATAGTCATGAATATTGGGAATGTACAGGTATGGAGAAATGGCTGTTTTTTTAAAGCTGAAAAAAGACTTATAAAATCTGTTTTGATTTACAAAACCCTTTGAAATTTTGCTAAACTTACACTTTTTCCCCCTAAATAAAAAAGTAATTTTATAGTTACATTATAGTAATTTCATTCTAGTTAAGCTTCATGACCAGAGCTTCATGCACAGTATGGTGGCAAGTAGCAGACTCAAGCTAACCCAGAACCCTGATGTAGGGCACACTGTGCCTCCTACATCATCATATGTATGGAAAAGAATGAGAGATGCAAAACAGAAACACTTGAAGAGACAATTGTTTTACTGTACATGTAAATAACAAGAAATGGTATGGGAAATATGTGACCAGTGAAGCATATTTTAATGTTTTTACTACCTGAGGGACACAGCTGAAGTAAGAGGGCCTCACGGTTATAACACAGTAAATAGAAGAGTAACATCTATGATAAACTGTTAGAGATGATAAATTTATAAAGTTGTGCGTATCTGCGGCTCTTAAACTTGAAGGTTATGAGAGTAGATTGGACCCTGCCCTATATTATCTATTAAAACAAACCCATACCAAACAAACTTAGGCACTGAGAAATGACCACCTTAAAAATTCAGAATTATAAACAGTGACAACAATAGTATTAATGATCTATATAGAGCACAGGCAAGGTTCATTTTCTCAAATATTGAAAATACGTAATTGATTTCTTGACCTTGAAAAATTCTGTTTTCCACTTAGGAAAAATGAATGCCTTCTGCATTAAATCCATGTAGCAACCTGAAAAGAAACCAAAATGGAATGGTATTGAAAAGCTAATTTGTGGCACATAATGCTGTATAATTCTTTATCTTTAATTCTAAAACTTGAACACATCAACATATTCATGTAGTCCACCCACTCCTACCACTAGTTGTTAAAGAAACCATAGTGCCCAACTAAATGTATAAGATACATATTGGTTAAAACCATGTCATGTTGGTGCCTCTTTCACATAACCTGTATGTCTTAAGCTATAATGAATTTGACTAAAATCATCTTAGACTTCTGCTATCCTAAGTCGAAGAGCTTAATGGCATTTGTTCTATTTTAACAAGGCAACTGAACAAGAGCTCTTTGGAATTAAAAGTAGAAATTAGAGGTAACAATGACCCATCTTACATGCCCACTCTTCTTCTATGGGCTGTTATCAGGTTCAAGTTAAATACTTAGACCTGTTTGTTACCTTTGTTTTTATTAGAGTCTAGTTAGCAAACTGCACATGCTCAATAACCTTGAGGAAATTTAGTGAGACTGGAGGAAGATAAAGATTTCTGTTTAGGCCTGATACTATTTTTTAGGTTAGCCCATAGGAACAGGTCCAGGTAAATTTAAAATGTCTGAAAAAGCAAAGTAGGTGCTTATAGTGTTCAACACCTAGGACTACCATCAATAAAGACTCAGTAGTCATGACAGCATTTGTCTTAGTAATACTGAACTGTGTTTCCAGCTTAGAGAAGGAAAACCAATGCCTTTTTTAACAGTCCACTCATTCAGCTTCTAGAGAACATGGAACTTTTCTTACCAATATACTAAAAAGGAGAGAACATAGAAGCTTTAATAGGGAATTGGCTAAAAATGCAAGAACGTCAGAAAGTTAACGTGGTGATTAAATAAAGGGTAGAATATAGGTTAATAAATTACCTGGGTAATTAATTGAAGCTTTACTGTTTCCTATCATAAGACTTGCTTAATTAAAGGAAAACAGATTTTGGTTTAAATTGCCCAGAAAATTCTAACACTTTTTTACCCAATATGTGTGGAACTTGCTTCAGGCTACAAAACAATTAACTGTATTATCATGAAATGGATAACCAGGTATGACATTATTTCATGCTTAAGATCTATAATCCATTCCCAATGAGGAAACAAATCAGATCCAGTTAACCTGTATTGTGATTTTTGTGCCTCGTGGGCTACTTTGGTGGGACAAGCTAATTTATTAAGACTTAAGACTGTGAATGAGAGTTGAGGGAGGGAGTGGGAAGGAGCATGATGTACACCACAACACTTTAACACAGAGGCGAACTTCTGGCTCAGACTGTTCTATCCTTAAGAAAATGTTCATTCTGCTGCAGCTAACTAGCCTCCATCTTCTACACCAAATACTATTCCATGCCATGGAAGTGCTATGCAACAACTCTCCCAGGTAGCACCTTATACCGCTTAAAAGCCTTTAAATCATCTGAAGGTGTCACAGTAAAAACAAGAAAATGTAAACACTTAGGAAAACAAAACTGTAATTACCTGATGAAGTCATCTATGTCCATGGAACGGGCCCGTTTGTCACTAAAACCTGTGCTGGTTAGGATTTGCTGTATTTTATCTGCTATGCTGAAATCTTCTGGTATTACCTATCAATATAAGATTCAGAATAAATGAACAACCTATCTTTAATGAAGTCATCATGACTCTTTTTTTTTTAAGTTCAGTTAAGTCATGAAACAGTCACTTAATAGTCACTTTTAATTTATCTGTTAGGACAGTTTGGAAAGCCTGGTTGTGTATGACTTGGATCTCTAGTTAAGTGGCTGACCTTACCACAAACAAATAACGCAGTGTACCTTGAATGACTAATCATGTAATTGGCATTTTTCTTTAAAATTGTGAAATAGTTTTCAGTTTCAAACTTCATAAAATAATTAAAACTAAAATTCTGGGCTTATTTTTGAGACAGCTTCTCACTGTGTTGCCTGAGGCTAGAGTGCCATGGCATCAGCCTAGCTCACAGCAACCTTAAACTCCTAGGTTCAAGTGATCCTCCTGCCTCAGATTCCTGAGCAGCTGGGACTACAAACACCCGCCACAAAGCCTGGCTAAGTTTTATATTTGTAGTAAAGAAGGGGTCTTGCTCAGGCTGGTCTTGAGCTCTTAATGATCTTCCCACCTCACCCCTCAGCCTCCCAAAGTGGTAGGATTATAGGTGTGAGCCACTGTGCTTGGCCTATAAATTAAATTTTAAAGCAGCCGTTATGCCTTTAAAAATAACTCACATTTTCTTGCCACAGATTTCACATAACCAGTTCATTTTTTCAAAGAGGTTACCTCTCCAACTTTTGAGAAACTTAATTTTCATCTTTTATTCAAAGATTTTTCTTATCCAGCTTAATATATATATTTTTTACTTATGTAGATTAAATAATGACTTTTTGCCCATAAAAGAGAAAAATGGAAATAATATATACAATCATAAGAAATACAAAGGAAATTTGCCTACCTCTAATTAAATTGAAAGCTAAAAAGTTAGCAAACATTACTTACTTCTTGTATGTATAAATGGCTCACACCTGTAATCCTAATACTTTGGGAGGCCGAGACGGCAGATTACTTGAGCCCAGGAATTTGAGACCAGCCTCAGCAAGACCAATACTCTATCCCTACTAAAAATAGAGAAAACCAGCCGGGCATTGTGGTACATGCCTGTAGTTCTAGCTACTCAGGAGACTGAGGCAAGAGGATCACTTGAGCCTAAGAGTTTGAGGTTGCTATAAGCTATGACACCATGGCACTCAGAGTGAGACTCTGTCTTAAAAAAAAAAAAAACAAAAAACCTCACAGAGGGCAGGCACAGTGGCTCATGCCTATAATCCTAGCACTCTGGGAAGTCAGGGCAAGTGGATTGTGTTAGCTTAGTTTAACATCAGCCCAAGCTAGAGCAAAACTCTGTCTCTACTAAAAATAGAAAAATTAGCCAGGCATTGTGGCTGGTGCCTGTGGTCCTAGATGCTTTGGAGGCTGAGGCAGGAGGATCATTTGAATCCATGAGTTTTAGTTGCTGTGAGCTGTGATATCATGACACTCTATGCAGAGTGACAAAGTGAGACTCTGTCTCATAAATACCTACATAAAAATAATAAAGTGTTGCTACATGAATCCACAACTTTGAGGAAATTACAACTGCTAAATCTGACTTTTTTTTTTTTATTAAGAGTCTTACTTTGTCGCTCGGTAGAGTGCCGTGGCATCAAAGCTCACAGCAACTTGAGAGTCTTGGGCTCAGGGGATTCTCTTGGCTCAGCCTCCCAAGTAGCTGTGACTACAGGAACGTACTACAACATCCGGCTGTTTTTACAGACAGGGTCTCGCTCTGGCTTAGACTGGTCTTGAACCTGTGTGCTCAGGCAATCCACCCACCTTGGCCTCCCAGAGTGCTAGGATTACAAGTGTGAGCCACTGTGCCCAGACTTAAATCTGATTCTTGACATGACTAAAAACAACTGTCAATAGTTAGAGAGGAGAGGGTGGAATAATGTTCCACAGAATACATAGCAGCATTGACTTGCCAGAATTCAAGTCACAATTTTGCTGGTTATGCATTGTAATACTACTTTTTAAAGATCCTATGGAATGTACAAAATAAGGAATCTCATAATGACAGGTTTGAAAAAAATACAGGACGTTTTAAAAGAAAAATCAATGAAACTACAGAAACATTTTCTACTTACAGTGTTATGGATTGAACAATGAATTCTATAGTTTTTTTCCAGTAGCTGTTGCACTGCACTTGATCTATAGCATAAAAAAATTACATTACTATTATTGTTTCTCAGATTATAGACATAATTTCTTTTTAGTTTAGATGAAATTAAATCTGTATCTCTTATGGTAAAATTAAGGAATTTTAAAAGGTATTAAATACTTCAACTTAACAAAGAAAATGTGAATTATATTTAAAAAGTTAAGTCCTGGCTCAGTGCCTATAGCTCTGCAGCTAAGGCACCAGCCACATACACTGGAGCTGGCGGGTTGGAACCCAGCCTGGGCCTGCCAAACAACAACAACTACAATGAAAAAATAGCCGGGCATTGTGGTGGGTGCCTGTAGTCCCAGTTACTCAGGACACTGAGGCAAGAGAATCTCTTGAGCCCAAGAGTTTGAGGTTACTATGAGCTGTGATATGATGTCACAGCACTCTACCTAGGATGACATAGACTGTTTAAAAAAAAATTTTTTTCTGATAAACATCTTAAATTCATAAAGAAGTCTAGACCCTCTATAAAACATGCCCTTTAGGCAGCGCCTATGGCTCAAAGGACTGGAGCACTGGCCACATGTGCTGGAGGTGGCAGGTTCAAACCCAGCCCTGGCCAAAAACTGCAAAAAAAAAAAAAAAAAAAAAAATGCCCTTTAAAAACAAAATTCCAAATCCTCTAATACTAGGTTCCATGGACTCCAAATTGGTGTGTTCAATTTCTCCAAATCAATAAATGGCACAAGTGGGGAAGGGGTTGATCATCACTCCATTTGCCAACAAAAAGACTAGACAGATGTATGAGAGTTTTGCGTTTTTTTTTTCTCCTGTTTTGTCAAAAAACCTGATCTGCCACCAAACTCCCAGAACTTTCTTCATTAAATTCTCCCGCCTCCCCACCTCCAAATTATAAATGGACAAGTTTTTCTGGACACAGATAATCTTTATGTTGTAGGGTAGTGTTCAGGAAAAAGACCAAATTGTAGCACAGTATCTGGAGCACTGACCTTTCATATATTAGAATTAGTAAAATACTTACTTAAATGCAGCAGAAAGAGTCTTGTTTTTCCTGACAAAGGTGATCCTTACGAGGCCATCCCATTCCTGAAATACAAGGTGGATAATGTCTTCAAAATATAAACTTCTTGGCTTGGTGCCCATAAGAATTCCTAAACTTCCTTGAAGGAATTACTGAGAACCACTCTACCTACTAGCAGCTGACCACACAGCCCGTCATGTTTTTCTCTAATGTGACAAGCGTAAGGCTTTTTGTCAAGTGGCCCAGCTTGCTTCTCTTTTTAAATCACAAAAACAAGAATTATGATTAAAAAGTGGTATCCATAATACTTTAAAACAACTATTTTCATTTTATCTTGTTTTCTAAGTTTTATTCAATTACAAACTTGTTTTCCATAGCTATAATCTTAAGTGAAATGCAACTGCCTTCTACTTTTTGCCTTTTACGAGTATTTTCCATGCCTTTTGGTTGTGGCCTTCATAACTACTTTGCATTAAATTATTCCATCTACTCCATCACAGGGATGTATCATAATTAACATTTTCCTATGTCTGGATATATAGATTGATTTGATAATTTTTCTGCTGCTACAGACACTTTTTTTTAGAACTGGGACTTTTAGTTTCCTTTATTTTAAGTCCCAGTATTTTAACCTCACCTGAAAATTGATGGGTGGTGGCGGATTCTTAGGTTCTATTCTTACGACACTGGATTCAACCTTGGGTGGTGGTCTAAAGTTATTCTTTCCAACCTGTTAATCAGAAGATATTTAAGTAGTACTTTTCAAACGCCAACTTCCACTTAGTAATTAAAGATACTCTCCTCAAAGAAAGCACAGCTAGATGCTCAAGGATGAATTAAGCTACATTATTTAAATAATAAGCCACTTACTTTCATTAGGTGGTCCACACGTGCTAATAGTTGTGTGTTAATTGAAAGTCTGCAGTATAACTTATCTCCAGGTTTTGCAACTAGTCGGAGAGCAAATTCTCTTTGAAACATAAGTACAGCACATCTGAAAAGAAAGCAGAAAGGAGTAAGGAAAATGGTCACTTTCAACTATAAATGTAAATTAACTGCAACGAATTTTCTTGGGAGAGAAATTGAGAGCAAAGCAGTAATCAGCTACTTACAAGGTAGAAGAATACTTTATTACCCATGAGACAGCTGGCTTTGTTTTCTGTTTTATAATGGCTACCTACACCTACCCCTTAGGAAGATGGCTTGTATATATATGCCCTCAATGATTAGATGAGAAAGTATTTCAAACCAGCACTAGTTTAGTGCCCCTTCTATGAAAATAAAAATAAAACTGACTCAGTAGCGGAATTATGTTCACAGCGTAGCAATCTTTAATGAAAAGGGAGCGCTAGAGAAGCAGACTGTGATGTTCAGTGTTCTCTTAATTTTTTTTTATTCAAGTCTCACTCTGTTGTCCAGGCTAGATTGCAGTGGCATCATCACAGCTCGCTGCCAACTCAAATTCCTGGACTCAAGCGATCTTCTTGCCTCAGCCAACTGAGTAACTGGGACTAACATGATTTAACAGGTTAAAAGATGTGGAAGGTCAGCTCAGCACCAGTAGCTCAAAAGGGGCCAGCCACATACACTGGAGCTGGTGGGTTCGAATCCAGCCCAGGCCTGCCAAACAACAATGACAACTACAACCAAAAAATAGCTGGGTGTTATGGCAGGTACCTATAGTCCCAGCTACTTGGGAGGCTGAGGCAACAGAATTGCTTAAGCCCCAGAGTTTGAGGTTACTGTGAGCTGTGATGTCACAGGACTCTACCCAGGGTGATAGCTTGAGACTCTGTCTCAAAAAAAAAAGGATGTGGAAGGTCTATCAGTAAGCAATGGGGAGGTTTTGTGTATGCCAATGAACAAGAAGAGCATCTTCAAACTTTTTTGAAAGTGAGTCATGGCCCGGCGCCTATAGCTCAACCGGCTAAGGCGCCAGCCACGTACACCTAAGGTGGCGGGTTCGAATCCCCAGCCCGGACCCGCCAAACAACAA